AATACTACTGTGTTTTTTATATCATACAGTGTTTTTTGATATCCTATGCTAATCAACTTAAAGCATGACAAAATGGTTGAAAACCTTCCAAATAGACTGATATTTCGTGCAACATAATCCCAGCATGCAGTAGAACAGAATATATAATACAGACTTTATCAGACTGTATCAGGCAAGTCAATGTTTTCATAATAAATGTGCCGTCATATTTTCAGGATCAAATTAAATTCATGTGACCAATATAATTTTGTGATTTTCAGTTTATAATATCTATCATTACTTTTTTTTTTTTTAAATAGCAATAATAACTTGTTTGGCGTTTGTCAGGTTTTATTAGGGAAACAAAATGCCACATAACTTTTAATAATAAAATATACAAAAGATATAGGCGGCACATAAGCAAATATTTGATTCGTACATTATCCTCTATATCAGAATGAATTTTCTTATCATTTTACATGTTAACATGGACTCCTTGACATTCTATAAGCGTCACCAGTCTTTCATATCTATTGATCTTGGTAACTTTATTAAATTTTTCTTTAGTTTGCGAGTACGTTATCACACCTCACTGGGTGTCATGTCTTTTTTTAAGTACGGTTCACATGTCAGTTTGTGGTGCCTAATTATTTATTGTATGAAATATATTTAATATATTTTCTAAGTTGAAAAATGTTATTAATGCTAGGTTGTTTAATTTTTATGATTAAGTCTTCAATTATTTGTAGTCGTTTTTCACAATTTGTATTGGATATTATTTTGTATTATCAATAAATGTCGAATTTCTTCTATTTTGTTGTTACGCTTGTTGAAGATATGCAATTTAATAGAGCTATTATCAGATAAATGCCATATGCGCGCGCGTGTGTGTGTATCAAATTTGCCTATTGTGGTAATAACATCTATTATATCCTGAACAAGTAAGGTCTTTATGGAAAAGTGTATTGTCAAAATGCTCATTTACTCACACATTCTCTGCCAAACATCGTGGCATCCCAGTAACTAGACATTTTTTCAAGATACCTGACAAGGAGACTGAGCGCAGGTATTGGTTGATTAGCATTAGATAATGGTTGAATTCTTACTGCTGAATTTTATGACTGCATGCTATATTTTTACAAATATTAGAGGGTTTTTCAACACGTTGGCAAGTGTTAAAATACGTACAGTATTTAATATTGTTGAAGTTATCGCTAACATTTTTGTCGAGATTTCCAAACTCTACATTTCGTTCAACTTTGCAAACCCATCGATGAAATTTGAATATGCTGATTTGTTAGGGAAAAAAACTACTTTGCGGTTTAAACATTTTAAATAACTTCATGGAAAACAATATTTTTTAAGAAAATTTCTTCTTTTTTTTCCTTTTTCCTTTATAACAAATAAAATTCTTAGGATTTCTTACTCTTGAGCATGCAACATACAACTGGCCATGTGTATATATTTCTTTTTTGAGCCAAATTCCAATTTGTTGAAGCGCTTGGCCTTTGTTTATAGTTCTCACAAATGCAAGCCGAACTGGAAACTGGATTCTTGTATATAGAGACTTAAAGAAAAGATATGCAAAAAACAAAATTGCATTTTTATTAAATAAGTATTTTTATTTTAATCATTAAATTGTTTTTAGAATAGTGGAAGTATATGTCAAATAATACAACTTTTAATTTTTTTGAAAAACATTAATGAAAATTTATTGTATTAAACTATGCTCATTAGTAAACACCATCTGTACTTTGTACCTCCTTACCTGTTTGCACTTCTTCCCCAAATTTGCTTTCGACCGGTCAGTGTATGGCTATTTAAGAGGGTGTGATGGACGGACGAACGGACAGACATACGGACGGACTAATGGGAGTCACAGAATTTTATATATAGATAGATATTATCGCTAATAATATTCTGCATAAAGCTATAAAATATTTCGTATGAAAATAAAATGTAAATATTTAAAATGTCTTTGCATGAATGCTGGGCGTTGATGTTAGCCGCTGAAGTAATGTTACGTCGCCTATTTATTATATAAATATGCAATTAAAAGAACATTTGAACACCGCCTTTTTCGTAACATGAGAATCTTTGTTTCTTTTTCATCATTGCATTGTGTGGAAAATGCACGCAGTTTGACAAAAGTTAAACTGATGAATGCAATCATAATAAATTATATGTTGTTGTTTAGTCAGCAGATTCAAGTGTCAAACTCTTGACCTTCAATCAACAATTTGGCCATTGGACTGTTAAATAAATTTTATTTCAGCATTTGGACTGCTTAAGTGCCGTTAGGGGACATTCTTCCTCCATTAATTTCGAGCGACGTCGGACACATGTAACTAGTTCATTTCGTTGTTCTCCGCCAGAGGGACGCGCTCCTTGTTGACCCACGCGACTAGCGATGCGGAAAGAAGAATTGGATTAACCAATCAAGATATTTTCCTATTGCTTTCACACTTGCATTATAAGAACATTTCAGTGCTAGTGGTTATATCCCTTAATAGAAAGCAACCAGAGTATTCAGTTAACTAGAATGAGTTTATTCCTACTGTTGTTGTTGACCGTGTCGCATTTAACCATCTCCATTGAGCACTGTATATCTAACCAATATTTTGGTCGATGCCTACCTATCTTTGCAACTGGGGTGCTGCTCTCCATTTCAGGATGTTTGCCATTCAGGCTTCTCTTCTAGGTGACTAAACAGTTTGCACGACTCTTACCCATTGACCTGTCTGACTAGGTTGAGCCAGCCTGAAAGTAAACGTCTACCAGGACACAGGCTACTCCATCATAGAAGCATGCAAGCCATTCCACAAGAAAATGTCATATTTCTTCAGACGTAGAAAAATATGACTTTCTATATCTTTTCTTTATTTCTGTGAATTGCCATGCTTTCTTGATAGTAGAATCATTTCTAGTAGCCAACAATTTGGCCATTAGACTGCTAAATAAATTTTATCTCAGCGTTTGGACTGCTTGAGTGCCGTAAGGGGACATTCTTCCTCCATTAATTTCGAGCGACGTCGGACACATGTGACTCGTTTATTCCGTTGTTCTCCGTTGGAATTCAGAATTTACCATCTTCGGCGACCAGATAAGATTGAAGAGCCCAGTCTATACTGCTATTTAACCCATAGCAGGAAGGAGAAGAGACAGATTCATGCCTTTTCCAATGGTGTTATTGCAAAAGTGAACAAAATATAACCAGGCTGGAAATTGAACTCGGTTCACCGATTCCACTATTCCCGTCGATATCCAGCACACCAGCCGCACGTTTAAGGCGAAATAAACAATTGTCAAGACTGGGAAATATTAACTATTGGTCATGAACTTTGTTCTATGAGTATAACCGATGGATTTTCTAGGGATCCTTTATAGGGAATTGGAATAAAGGATCCTGGTTGCAAAGAAAGAAAGAAAGAAAGAAAGAAAGAAAGAACATTATAATGGAGTGATAAAAGGGGAAAGATCTAGGCTGGAAAGGAAAAAATAAAAAAAGAAAGATGCTCATTCACTCATTCATGTGTGAGATTAGTTAATGCTTGTTGACCATACCTTGGAAACTGTGTCAGCAAGTGTATGAGTGTGCAAAGGTACGTGCCTATAACGATACGTTTTACTAACAAGAAAGCCACACACACAAACACACACAAACACAAAAATATATATATATATGTGTGTGTGTGTGTGTGTGTGTGTGTGTGTGTGTGTGTGTGTGTGTGTGCAAGTATGTAGAAAAATAAGAAAGAATACGTTAGGTAAATAATCCAGACTTCTCTAGTATTTTGTTTTTATTTTTAAAAACATTCCTCCATACAGAAGTAGAGCTTAGATTATCATTTTTTTTTAAATATGATTCTTTCGCTACATAAGAGTTCTTATGTTTCAAAAACGAGAGCCGAAACCATCAATATTATTATTAAAATTAAATTGAATTAAAGTAACAAGTCATGTTTCATCCTCAAGCGAAAATTTCTTGTTACTTTAATTCAATTTAATTTTAATAATTATTTGGATGGTTTCGGCTCTCGTTTTTGAAACATGAGAACTCTCAACGAAGCGAATTTTTCAAATTTAATTATAATATATATATATATATATATATATATATATATATACAATAAAATCCAAAATCATTTCATATGAGGTGATTCTGCTTTAATTTCTGCTCTGTAATAATAAATACATTGAGCTCTTTTGTGGATCAGTTTTAATATTTTATATTACTAGGATCCGCTTGGATTATATACCAACAGATTTATTACCTTTAATATATATATATATATATATATATATATATATATATATATATATATATATATATATATGACGTCGAATTCATTATTACTGATCCATATAATTACAAAAATCACATTCAACTGACGACACAGTTTCAACGGTTTTAGCAACAAATATATACATACACACACGTGTGTGTATGCATGCATGTATATATGTATATTATACGCTTGATTAAAGACGATAAAACAAAGATTGCTTTTGTAGCTCTTAATCATTTTTCTTATCGATATATTAAGTGGGAGTATGTCTGAGTCCAATGTATGTAAATACTGTCCAAAGGTTTATGACTGAGCGCTGTAAACCTTACAACTGGCATTTTTAAGAACTTTGACTGAGTACCGATTTCACTCATTCAAATACCTTTTACACATGTCGTTGCCTACTGTGGGTACGCGTGTGTGTATCTGTGTGTGTACGTGTATGTACGGACGGTTTTCCTGGTCTTAAGAATTATTTTACTCAGTAAAAATCTATTCTTCTCTTGTCAAATTGTTTTCATTTGGAACATTCTCACTTTTTTTGAAGAACAAGATGCATATAACATGAACAATTCTCTTACGCTGGGTCTTATCATGGTTTCTCGTGGCCTAGTTGGTAGAGCAAACCCCGACTTAAAGAATGCTTTCCCTGACGAGAAAACATAGAGGTTCACTTCATCTCGGGTAACACAATTTTCTTTAGTAAGACATATCAAGATTGCTTGCCTAGGCTTACGGCCACATCAGGTTGAAACACCTTTTCTCGTATGACCACTAAAGTTAAGAAACGTCGAACCTGGTCAGTACCTCGATGGGTGACCGCTTGGGGATACCAGGAGCTGTAAGCTTCAATATGCAGGTGGTGTAATGGATTATGGCTCGGAATTGCTAATCGGAGAGCCGGTTCCCCATTAGGTTCGCTATATTCTCTTACGCGCAAATGCCCTTGATGCCACTTCTTCTCCCCCATCTACGGGTTAATTAGCAGGACTTTTATCAGTAAGATCAGTTAGGAATTGCCTGAAAACCATATCGGGAGTCGTCCGAAGACTTGGAACTTGAACTGTTCGTAGACACTATAAGTCATTGTTCACGCCAGGGTATGAATAAAGCTGCACGCAAGCCACTAGTGTACCGCTAGCTGGCCACTGACGGTAACGCCAGCGGTTATCTGGTGACATCCACCGGAGCGCCACTGGCGGGAAACCAGTGGGCCTCTAGCGGTCCGCCAATGGTAGCATTGCCGAGACGAACACGCCAACGGCTCGGCAGCGCACCAACAGCATCAAACGCTAGTGGCATGGTACCCAGTGGCAGATTGGTGGCTTGCATGTATGGTGACTATGGGTGTTAAAAAAGCTCAAATGTGCCTGAGTAGGTGTCTGCAACAGAGATTAACTAACCAAAAAGGCATCAATGTAAGAAGCGCTTCAAAGACTGTTCAAAAAGAGACCCTTGCAGTCTGCATATAGATGATCCTGGGTGGAAAACTGTTGCTTGTGATCGAAATAGGCAGCGGCGTACAATTCACTATGGCACTATGATCTTCCAAGAACATGCAATGAGTTGGGCAAATGTCAAGCATGCAGAACTGGAAAGAGGAAAACATTAATCCGGCAATCCACAAATTTACATGGGATTAATGTGACAGAGTATGACAGAGGGTGGACATCGCTAAGTGATGGAAAGAACACTTCCTAAATCTACTCAATAGAGATAGAAATATGGACAAATTTGCTCTGAACTACCTTCAGCAAAAACCCATCGTGAGATCTATGAATGATTCTCCTACCTTGGGTCAAAGTAAAATCATCTATCGCACATCCCACACGTCAGACACTGTGGTCCTCGGAAAGGGCAATGTAATCAGTATCGTAGAGCATATTCAACTCGATAGTCTTCGTTAGGCAGGCCATGTCATTCGCTTGAAGATACCTGAATACCCAAACGAATGCTCTACAGCACTCGGGCCTAGCATAAACGTAGTTAGCACTAAAAGGCCTGTTTAAAAAAGAGTCCCTTGCAGCCTTCCATATAGACGAACCTGAGAGGGAAACTGTTGCTTGTGGTCGAAATAAGCAGTGGCGTACAATTCACGAAGACACTAAGATCTTCCAAGAACATTCAATGAGTTCGGTAAATGCCAATCGTATAAATAGGAGGTGGGGAGGCAATCATTGATCCAGCAATCCATCAATTGACACGTGATGAATGTGGCAATGTCTTCGTTAGCCACTGGAAGAATCATATAAGTAAACATTTGTGAAATTCTGATTAATACAACGTTTGGAAAAACTTAACATTCGGAGTGTGTCGGAAAACCTGTAGGAACAGCTCCGGTCTCATCGATCACATGAAGCCTGAAGAGAAGCCGGAACGAAAATTACAAGATAGGTCAGGACCTATACAGAAGAAATAATTTTGCCACGTCTGCAATAATCATTGCAAATCACATACCGTTCTTTAAGAGCTGTTATTGCTCTCACGAAAACTAAAAATATAACGGAAACCTCTTAGCGATGGATCAGCGACAGCCATTATGTATGTATGCGTATACTTTTAAACATATCTTTATGATATAATTCGGTTATTAACAATCTCACCAGTGTTTTACTATCAAACTACTTTAATCGCATGCGTTACAATTACCTTGAGTGGTTCTTGGATTAAGACTGCCTGAGCCTGCATAGTGGTGTGCAAGCGATGTTTGACTCTTAATAATCGTGCAGGTAACATTGGGTTTCTCACCTATTGGTGGCCGTTCGCGGACAACGAGTGGGTAAGCATCAAATGTTCAAATAGACAGACAGGATTATATGACTCTTCAATATATTGTTATATTTAAGTTGCGTTTGGGTCATCATCAAATACAGTTATTTTATTTCTTATGATGCTTCATCAAGGAAACATGGCGCCTTTATAAGCTCATAAAATAAACCGATAACATTAGATAAATACAAAGTGCAAATAGACCTAATATTATCTCTCTCTCTCTCTCTCTCTCTCTCTCTCTCTCTCTCTCTCTTTATCTATCTATCTATCTATCTATCGATATATATATAAATTTCAACATTTCAACATACAAATGCGTATGTATAGATATAACACCACCCGTATACATACATGTGTCATAGCCGAAACTGCCCACATACGTTTATATATGTATGAGTCCCGACGGACGACCAAGTATGTATATGTGTCTGCATGCATCGATGTTTGCGTTAGTACGATGAATGACAAAACGACGAAATTTCCCCCACCACTTCCACAATAACACCAATACACGCAATCTACATAAACCCAAATTTTTAAAAACATTAATCAGTTTGTCTGACGATCGATAAAGCGTGAAACCCAGGGTCACAAACTCACATCTATCCAACCAAATATATATATATATATATATATATAATGTGATGAAAATATAGCTTTAAGGTATGCTATATTTATGGGTAAAATTACTCAATGTAAGGGCTAGGGCGTATGCAAATATAAAAATGGGCACTGAGGGCAACACCCAGAGGCGTATGTTTTATGCGTGAACGCAATCTTCAGGCCATGTGTGTTGCGTTTTGTCTCGACTATACATATATTTGCTGGTCAATGATGTATTATGGGTTGCAAGGTTTATTGTATTATCCTAACGGTGGGCGGTAAGGGCTAGATTTAAAATTATTCTAGTGGCTATTAACTAGAAATAATTATGAATCCGAATATATATATATATATATATATATATATATATATATATATGTGTGTGTGTGTGTGTGTGTGTGTGTGTGTGTGTGTGGGTGTGCGTGCGCGCGCATTGCGTGGATGAATGCGTATATATATGTGTGCGTGTGTGTGTGTCTGTGTGTGTGTGTGTGTGTGTGTGTGTGTGTGTGTGTGAATGCGTATGTATATATATTTATATATATATGTGTGTGTGTGTGTGTGTGTGTGTGTTTTGGCAGCATGTTTCATTGAATAATTTTGACAAGTTTTGTGTACTTATTTTCAATTGGATCCTTTAATATTCATGGACAATTTTTTTGTTGTCGTTATTGAAGGACGAGAGAAAATCACCGTGTTGATACATATTATTCAACTAAATAATAATAATAATAACTCAACTGTCTAAATTATTCAATCAAACATGTCTTTATTATATATATATATATATATATATATATATATATATATATATATATATATATATATTACACGAAATGGACAAAAAGTACGACAATTATTTTAAGACATTTTCTGTTTATACGTTATTTTTATAGATATAAATATTTAAATGCTCTGTTTATAATAAATAGTAGATATAATATATCTATATCATTCAATGAATCACACATACATATATATATGTATATGTATATATTTATACATAACAAAGATTATGTTTCATCAAAAACGAGTAGAGACAAAATAACGAGTTAACAGTTCATTTTATTTATTAATATATATATATATATTTATTAATATATATATGCTATAAAAGCGTGCTCATGTATGTATGATTGAGTATACGTGTGTGTGTAAAATGCTTACACCTCCCAAAATCAATATTTTATTGAATAACTATCACAACACTGAAATTGATTTTGGTGTCGGCAAGAATATTTCACCACCCACGTATGTAGTTTTATCTTATTCCTGATAAACGGATTTGTATTTGCGCAAATCTGATTCGGAAGATAAGTCATTGAATTTTTTTTATTCATGTATTCACTATTAAAGTTCTTTTAATACTGAGCGCTTTATTTACACAAATCTGGTAACCTTAAATGCGTTATCCTTCAGTAATTTAGACGAGCTTTGTTAGGCGTAAATTTTTTTTGTTAAATATATGGGTGTATGTGTTTGTGTGTGTATGTGTTCGCATGCGTGTGATTGTCAGCACACACATAGATAGATAGATAGATAGATAGATAGATAGATAGATAGATAGATAGATATGAAGTGAACGAGATAGATAGATAGATAGATAGATAGATAGATAGATAGATAGATGAATGATAGATATGATGAAGAGATAGATAGATGGATAGATAGATAGATAGATAGATATGAAGTGAACGAGATAGATAGATAGATAGATAGATAGATAGATAGATAGATATTAAGTGAAATAGATATAAAGTGAACGAGATAGATAGATAGATAGATAGATAGATAGATAGATGTGAAAAAAAGGGGACATATGTTCCTTTGACGATGCAGTGAAATACTTTCGACGATAATGAAGAGATTTCTATCCGTCTGTGGAAAGAAAATCATTTATTTTTCTTCATAAAAGTAAAAACAGTTATATACATGAAGGAATTTTTCTTAACTATCTTATTCAATAGCACATTGTTAAAGGAAACAAGTTTCTGAACGAAATAAAATTTCCTTTCAGTAGAATCATATTATATCTCTGTGTGCGTATATGCGTTAGAAAATAAATGTATAATATACAAATATGAATGTACATGTGTAAATGTTGTGTGTGTGTGTGTGTAAATGTCGACTCGTTATAAGTTTGCTCACTGAGTGTGTCTAAGGTTATTTCATAACCTGATCCGGTTGACTGAGTCGGTAGCGTGGGAAAAGACACAAGCAGACAGACATCTGGACTCTTCGGCTTCGTTACGGGATGTAGCCACGGCAAAAGGTGGATTGACAGGAAGAGGCGTTCAAAACACGCATTACATGGCGACAGAAAAAAAAAAAGGTTAACGCCTCTCAAAAATAACCTCGAAATTGAACTGATTGATCGAATTTCCCGAATGAAACAAGGTGTTGTTAAAATAATTGCACCTGTTTTAACTAATGTATATAATTCCTTCAATTGACAAGTACCAGCCGATGTC